CACGCTGGGGGAGCGCTCCCAGTCACGCCTCCGCAGCACTCCTCCTCGCTGTCGCGGACGCCCCGATCGGCAGCAGGTCCAGGTGGACCGTGACGCCGTCTGTTGGCGTCTACGGGGGCAGTCTCGTGGATAAGCGCGCCTCGGCGGGCAGCGCCACTCCAGTGGTCCCACACCGCTCCCCCCGCGCTCTCTCCAGCCGGTCACTGACTTCAGTCACGGTTGGGGGGGGGGGGCTTCCGCCACGACGCGGCGGGTCCTCCGACGGGAGGGAGAGCGCCTTCGCCAGTAGGCGCGATGCCAGCGCATCCCTCCTCATCTCTCCATCGGCACGACGCCCGCCTCGGCCCTCACGGCGAGTCTTGGAGCATGGAAATCGGGCAGCCAGTGATGACTCATGCCACCATCAGCATCTCCGCCTCCAGGACGCCAAGATGTGTGGCCGCAGCCGCAGGCAGCCACGCCGACCCCGCTGCCCGCATGCCCAAGTAGTCTCGAATCGCTGACACCTCTCCTGAAACAAGAGTGGTGTCGTAAACTTAAACCCCTTGCTGGAGCCCGCCAGCCGCGACAACACCGCCACACCAATTTTTGTGACCCCGGAACTTCCGTCCCGAGCCTTATTTCACGGCACGATGCTACAGTGCGCTACACGTATTGTGGTATTCAGCTTCCATGGAAACATCAACTAATTTGGACGCTCAAACATGGGAGTCAGGAGTGGTTAAGGCCCAGAGCGTTCTGTCTGGTTTATAAAACCTTGGCTAGCAGATGTAAACGTGCTTTTTGTATAAGTGGCTTAATTTTGACGCAAAAGGGCACTAACCTTCGGCGCAAATAATGCAGAAATTTCAGCGAAAATTGCAAAATAGCTTGCGCCGAACTTCGGCGCATGACGGCTTCACGGGCGTCCGGCGTACCATATGGATGTTTTCCAGTTTGGGCTGCAGGTTTTAGCTCTAGGTTTTAGACTGTAGGTTTTGGGTTGGGTTGGGTTGGGCTGGGCTGGGCTGGGCTGGGCTGGGCTGGGCTGGGCTGGGCTGGGCTGGGCTGGGTTGGGCTGGGCTGGGCTGGTTGGGGTGGTTGGGTTGGGTTGGATTAGGTTAGGTAAGTTTAGGTTAGTTTAGTTTAGGATAGATATGAATACCGTAAAATGGGGTGTTAAGGGACAGTGGGGTGTTAAGGGACAGTTGCATGGGAAAAACTTTGAGTCACATTAACTTCCTAATTTGAGAAGGTTCAATAAAAACTTCGGTGTGGTAGTTGACACTGTTTTGCTCTTGACCATATGAGAAAATGGTATGGTTTTTCATGCAAGTGATTTGGTTCAAAAATGGATTTGAAAATCATGCTACATTTTCACAAAATTGAAACATCTCCAACACTTTGTGTGTACCACATAAACTAGTGGGTGTACAGGGAAAATGAATGCATAGGTGTATTGTCACATGTATTGCACATGTTTCCTGAAAAACTTGTGCAAATCCACCCATTCATTTATCATCCTCTTCCTCTTTTCCAGATACATGCATATTTTGAAGTGGATGTGGGGTGCTAAGGGACAGGGAAGAAAAAATAAAAAATAATATCTAAATATAATTTAATTAAGTAGGCATGGAAAACACCAAATTCCACATAAAATGCTGGCAAGTTCATGCTTTTATCTCTAACACATCTTAAGTTATGTAACAAAACATCTCAACACTCTTTTACAATGGTGGGTCAATGGAGACTGATGTAGGTAAATGTGATGTCATCATAAAAAGGCTAAAACAAAGAGGGCAACATAATGACAAGTGACTAGCTTCAACATGGGTTTTTATTGATGACAGAAGGGTACTTTTTGGTTCTGTTTACCTCATAATTAGCACTTTTCCACAAGCGTAAACTGCATTACACGTAATTGGCTAAAAAGGTCATTAGTGGTGAATGAGCCTGACTTGTTTTGTGACAGAATATGCAAAACATTTCAGTAAATAAATTGTGTGCCCTTCCACACCCCAATTGTGGGCATTTGATGACCATTTCTTGGAATAATATAGGTGTCCCTTAACACCCCACATTGGGGTGCTAAGGGACAGTGATGAAAAATAATAACAAATAATATGCAAGTATAAATCTTAAAAACTTTAACATGGCAGGCATGTAAAGCATCAAATTCCACATAAAATGCTGACAATTTGATGCTTCTATCTCCAACCCTTCTTGAGTTATGTAACAAAACACCTCAAAACTGTCCCTTAACACCCCGTTTTACGGTACCTATTTTTTGTAAGTTGAATTATTTTTTTCATTTTGTAGCATCATATGCCTTCCATCTTTGAACTGTCATATTCAAGCACCAGAATAAGTATGGACTTGAACCTTTTCCAGTCTGGATGCCTGTATGGAAGTTGTGCAAAATCATGCAGTTGAAGGTATTGTAACCACAAATAAGAGCTCATGACTCAAGTCTCAACTTGTCCATAATTGGTTATCTTGATGTATACTTGTAGACCCTTCCTCTTACTTGGCACACAGGCATGGTGTCACAGTGTTCTAAAATTGGATTTCAATTGGGTGTCCCAATAAAAAAAATCTGAAGACAAAATGAGATAGATTTAGTCTTTCCGCAAAACTGCATAATGCCATTTTTACCTCAGATTTTGTCAGAACCTTCACAGGATCTGAAATGAAATGATGTAGAGTAGATGCATCAACTGTCAAGTCATGCGTAACCTGGCAGCTGGCTGTTGAATCAAACTTTTGACATATTTTTTTAGCAAAGATGAAATAAAGCCACTTGTCATATTTTTAGGATGAAAACATTTTCCCCATCATGTGTGGTTATTCACCTAAAATTCTGAAACATGGAACACTGTCATACCAGCATTCCATCATGTCAACCAGCATTCCGCAGCATGTTAGCAGAAGCAGCAGCATGTTATAAGTATATGAAAGATCCAAATAGGTTGTAGGTTGGTAGGTATTGGTACTAAGTTTAACTTAATAGGTTAGTAGGCAAGGTTAGGATTAATTTTAGTTGAGCATCAAGATAACCATTACGAACAAGTAACAAAATCCTTACCTACCCTTGAAAGCATTGCTTCAATCACATCATCACGAAGAACCAGACAAAATTTTTGCACATTCTTACACTATTTGACATCCTGAATCCAGATATGATGCTTTCATGTGGCGCAAATACAAGAAAAACGAATGTAACGGAAGTTAGCAGGGATTCAGCAGGGGTTCAGCAGGGATTCAGCAGGGATCGACGGCCCCTACGATTTCGCTGCATTTTGGTGGAGAGGTGCAGAATGGTGTCCTCTATCGAAAATCCTAGTGCCAAAATGCGGGGAATCCATCAGGGGGGCCACAAATCCCAAAAAACAGTATGCCCTCAGGGCACAATCGACGAACTTTGAAAACCCTACTTCTAGCCGTCAAAACAGCTAAAAATGCACGTCATTCGAAAGAGGACAAAATTTTACGTGCAACGGTACCAAATTTAGGGGGCTAGCGCCCCCCTGAACCGAACAAAACAGCTTCAAATATATGGGCCCGGGAGTATGCCCTCGGGGCATAAATAAACGTTTTCAACAATTTCAGGCCTATAACATCGACAAAATCCAGCAATGCATGAATAATCAAACCCGTGCGTATTCGTATCAACGGCGCCACAATTGTAGATCAGACCTTTTCTGAACAAATGCCACCACAATTTTAATTGATAAGGGATTAAAATGGCATGAGCATCAACATCTTGATTTTTTCTAAAAGATAGCGATAACTGATAACTAATAACTTACCATTCATTTTGAAATCACGGCGGTAGGTACACCAACACATGGCACTGAAAACAGCAAAAGACGGAATGGCGGAATGTCGTATGGAGCCCTAAAACGCAGCTCGAATTGAGCCCGAAAAGGAAGACGAACTGATGCCGCTTTCGGGGCTAATGTACTTTGAGCCCGAAAAGGGCGCCTAACTGATCCCGATTTTAAAATCATACAGATTTGAGCCCTGTTTTGGCACTCATATGAGCCCTTATTCAAAAATGTTCTCAAAGTGTTTTCTGAGTGCTTGTGCACGGCACCCTACTAACCGGTCTCTAGTGATGTGCCAATTTTGAGCACAATCGGCCCAGCCGTTCTCGAGATCTGGAATCGACAACCTGCACGTGCGCACGTGCAAAATGGGTCCCAACTGACTTTTGCACGGCACCCTACTAACCGGTCCCTAACCATGTGCCAAATTTGAGCGCCATCGGTCCAGCCGTTCTCGAGATTTGGAATCGACCCCTGCACGTGCGCACGTGCAGCAGCACCCCAACTCTGGCACATGGATATGCATTGCCTAGTGGGTGCCTACCTACATGCCAACTTTCAGCGCAATCGGCCGAGTAGTTACCGAGATATTGCAACAATTACAAAAGTGACACCTCTTCGTTTTGCACGTGGCACGCGCATAAGGGGTCACCCACATGCATCGGCAATAGTCCAATACTTGGTAGAAGGAATGAAGCTGCCCTACAAAAATTACCGCGTGTAAATCGGTCAAGTGGTTGCTGAGATATAAGTCTCGCAAAAGCGTGACCACGGCCGGCCGGCCGGCCGGCCGCTCATACTCAGAAATTTCCGTTAATCTAAGGAAAGACTACGCTCGCTTCGCTCGCTCCGTAATGAGACTCCGCTCGCTTCGCTCGCTCCGTAACCACGCTGTGACTATATGGCTGCTGACACCAGAAGGCAAGTGGCTTACAGGTGGCATAGAACGTGTCACGATACCCAATAAATAATGCGTACTGGTGTTCACCAATCGAGATCGACCAGATCGGTTCCCAAGTGTTCCATTACAAACATTGTGAAGTCAACACTAATATTGGCAAGTTTTAGCTGATTCGAACTTTGAAATGGCTAAGCTTAGATGACTGCCGGTCAGCGAACCGTTTCTGGTAGGGTGCTCTAGAGACCTTATCCCGGTAGACCCAGTGACCTGACCCATATTGCCGGCCCTGCCAGCTGACCGGCCTGCCTGACGCCGTCACCTGCATGGTGGCCCACCACGACTCCGACCGGGAGGAAGCGCCATCTTTACTCATCCTTGGTGACGACGGTGGCGACATCTATATCTTGCGCTTTCTCCGGCCAACTTCGTCGCTATTCAAAAAACTGGTGATCGACCGAAAGCAGGTTATGGTTTGGCAGGTGAGTAGACCAGTGTCCTTTGCAGTCGGTGATATTATTGACTGTGATAATCAATATTTGTGACGAATCTAGGTGGGGAGTATGAGGAGTGACTTCCGTCCGAAAAGCAAAACCAACTGACGGCCCATGCATGCTTCATTGTTGTTGTTGTTGTTGTTGTTGTTGTTGTTGCTGTTGTTGTTGTTGTTGTTGTTGTTGTTTGTCTAAAGATCTGAACTGCTTACTGTGTACCTAGGTACTAATATCTTATCCAAAAAGATTTAAGTTACTTCACACCGTTCCGTCTTTTTCATCCTCAGGATAGTCAAATTCTTCTCCTCTACGCCTCAACCCCCTGTTCCCAGCTAGACGGGCAACTTTATCGCATGAGGGAAGCGCCCCATACGAGCAGGCCTGTAGTCGGGTGTGGTGTCAGGTTGCTGGACTGGACGGGCTCAGCCCCGGCGGATCACCGGGGTGCCCGCCGTGACCAATGTCTTTCCCTAATTCCTATCATCCCTCCGGGTTTGAAATGGTCTCGTCAGACCGAAAGGGCCTAAACCAACAAAACAAACAGCTTAATTTGTACTTGTACTTGTACAAGCAACTTACTGTACTTGTATTTTTATGATCAAATGATTATAACTGAATCCAATCAGGGTTTGTGGCTAAGACTTGGTTTGATACCGTTCACATAGTGTTGCGACTTTCTTAGGTTCCCCTACCTAGTTTATGCTAAATATTTTACCAGAAGGAAACGGTGGCGTAGTTAGGGTTGCCAGTGCAATTCCACTCAGACTTCGTACATCGCTAGTAAATGTTTGAATGGTTACGACTGAAATTCGGTACGGGTAGTTCCGTCTTACAATTCTTATTACTACTTGAAGCTGGAACTTGGAAGTATCGGCGTGTCCATCTCTTAACTCTATTGGTGGAATATCGGACTCCCGGTAATGGGTGCCTGGGTTCGACCTCTCGTGGACTTATCCCATGAGACTCCGAGCAAGGGTGACGTGTGCCTGCAGTCGGTAGGAACTAGGAACAGCTTTAGCTACTTGAAATGCGTGAGTGAAGCAGAGCGTGCCCAGTTTTATGATCGTGCCCAACTTTGGTATCTAAATTTTGTAACGCCAATACCAGGAGTTTCCCGATGGGGTGAAATGGCCAAAACCTGCGCAATAAGCTCTGGCTTAGCCCGGGCCCTAAGTTGGCCAATCCAGTGGCAATGGTAAATGGCAAAACATTAACAACCGAATCATCGAATCATCAACTATCATCGCCTAATCATCGAATAATGAATACATTCTAAATGCTATCCTATCGTTGGTCGAACGAATCTTTAAAACAAAACCGGTCCACTACTCATGCATTTGATGTAACTAGTAATCTCCACATACTGCTCAATGGTCACAAATTTTCTTTGGTTACTTGAGTTGGGCTGCAGGTTCTGACAGATACGCGTTAGTCGAGAGAAGATCCTGTGTAGCTAAATGTTGGTATCATAATAGTTATATGTACTTACCATATTTTTTCGATATCCACAAAATCACGTTTCAAGCATTTTATCATCATCAATCATTACTATAAGCATGATAAGCATGTATTATTATAAAATAATTATCAGCATTATATTATCATCACTTCGTGATAAATCATTTATTATAGGCAAAAATAGTGCACGTTATTTTCGAGCGTGATAGTAAGCTGCTTGCAGGTTACGTCAGTCCACATCAACTCGCTTCGACGCCGATTCTCAAAATCGATTTAATATCATTTGTCAAGTGGTCATGGTCATTGGGACCGCAGTCGAGTTTCTAAAGCACACAAGCAATAATGAGTGCCTATATAGAACCTATGCAGTCTACACAGTACACATCTGTGTAAGAAAATGTAGCCTGGTGAAGCCAAACATTTATTTGATAGAAACGCAAGAGGACGATACTTCAATAAGGAGAGACGCGATTAATTGTGGCAAGCCTGCGCTCTAAAACGATGAGTCCTCAGTCAACACCTGTTTGACTATCCAAGTGCATGAATGCATATTGGTGCTAAGATAAAGACGCCCTTTCATCAAGCTCAGCCCAGCAACATGTCCAAAGTGAATCAACTAGTAGAAATACCGAGAGCGTCACTCTGCAAGTACCTCAGTAGCACTATTCAGTTCATCGAATACCATTTCTGGTGCCCGCTTTATTGCCCGCTATTGTCTAGTCCACCTCGCTATCATCATCATCATCATCATCATCATCATCATCATCATCATCAGTTGAAATGGTCACTCACAGCTCACAGCAATCTGTGACACCACTGTGTATGGTGAAGCGGCCTGATCTTCATTGATGCGTGTTTTAAGGAGTATTTTTCACCTTTCCAGTCCTTCCATACCAGTCCTTTCCAGGCGGGAATCGTTGCCGTCTTACTGTACTTGCCAAGAAGATTGGCATTAAAGCAGTCCTTAAACCACCATCCGTTTTGAAACTGAACCGCACAGTTGGGACTTGTCTTATCATTGTCTCGATCTTTTGTAGTGAATTTCATGCCATTTACATATGCCAGCGAATTTCCAGCGGTTCCGTCATACTTGCCGATTGAGAGGGCGAACTGCTGCTCTTCTGTACCGACCGAAAACGGGGTGTAGGTGGCGTAGGCCGTGCCGTTCTCCCAGTCCTCCAGATCCACTCTCAGTTGAACCTGGTCCAGGCTGGTCAGCAGGTTCAGGTACTCGTTGCCCAGCCAGAACTCGGCGCTGAGGTTGCCGAAGCCCCACTTGTAGCTCTGCCAGTTGAGGTTGAAGTCCTGGTGGTGCGGCACGTCGTCGCGTCGGGAGATGACCGTCCAGCCGCCGCCGTCGGTCTCCATGTCGCAGTAGACGCGGATGCCGCCGCCGTTGCCGCAGGTGGGCGGGTAGACGGTGTAGGTGCCACTGAGCCTGTGCCTCTGCTGGACGGCCGAGCAGTCCTCGGGCCGCCACTCGCCGTCCGCCCGCTGTGCCAGCCGCGCCTCCAGTCGGCCGTCCAGCTGCGCCAGGTGCGCGGAGAGCTGCGACAGCCTCTGCTCCACAGCCTGGAGCCGCTCCGGGCCGGCTCCGATCGCCGACTCCAGGGGAATGTCGTGCGTGCCGGCGCCGCCCGGACTCAGCCGCCAGCTCACCAGCAGGACAAACACCGAGACGGACGGCCACATCGCCGCGAGCAGAGCAGCGGCCAAGCCGACGACAGTCACGGGTTGTGGTGACCTGACGCCGGCGCCGCCTGACACTTTATACCTCGGCAGAGCCACCGGGTAGGAGGGGTGTGGCTAGCGAAAACAGTCCCTGACACAACTGGCGGCTCAATTAATTATACACAGCGCAGCGTCAGGGGCATCATAGAGCTGTCGACGCTCCGGGTCGTTTGTTTATTGAGCTGCTCCCGTCGCTTCTCATCCGTTCATCCCGCTCGGAGATCATTTAGACCGCCGCCGCGCTAATGTCAGCCGCCATCGGATGATTACTTTTCCTTCGCCCTAATATAAATAGAGTATCTGCTTTGTGTGCCGTTCTTGAAGCTTTATACACCGGTTAACAAGCATCCCAACAAGACAGAAGGAAACAAATTGAACATAACTTAATGGAAACAATCATTCGACAACCAGCTGTCGATCCAAATGTGAAGGCCATGTACTTCCCTTCTTCAGTGAATTCTGCTCTTTAAATAACAGTCGTGTTCGTCGGAAAAGATCAAAGTTCATCTTCAATGGGGGGGGGGTTGATGGGGGTTGATGCAGCCCCCCCCCCCAAGGGTTTTCACAAATAACGTTAAAACGGCGGCGCGTAGCGCCGCCAAATTTTGCATATTCTCTTGGGCAACATTTTCGCACCTTTCCTGAAAGTTTGGAGTCCCAGTCTTTTCAGGTCAGGTCACCAGGTCACAAAAACCGGTACAAGGTCAGGGGAAAATTGGACTAACAAAGTATATCATTCGATGCGCACGGACGTCCTGAGTTCACTGGTGCTTTTATTTTTGCTCTATCTTTACTAAGTAAAAAGTTATAAGCGAAAAACGTTTGACATGTTTTAGCAAAATTTTTACACTCATACCCCCAAAAAAACCCCTAAATATTGACATAGAGTCACCAAACTTTCACAGGTGCGAGATCTCCTATGGACCCACCTACCCTGTAATTAGGGCTTTTGTAAGCGCCATAGGAGCCAATCGCGAGGGGGGGTCGTACCAACCCCCCTCGCCGTCCGTGTTATGGAAAAGGCCCTCGCCTGGCGAGGGTTAAGATACCAAAACAAGGTAGATATTCGAAAATCGGACGCCCTAATGGATCATTCGATGCATCTTGCGCGATTGAGCATGGATCGGTCTTCAAGCTAGTGACCGAGAACGAGGTGATTAGTATCAAAAGCTGGTGACCGTACCTGTGGCTATTCCAACGCTCAATCCGAAAGTAATTGGTGTCATTCATTGTTGAGGAAGCAGATTGATGGGACGACATGGGAAGCTGGTAGAATACGAAAACCACCAGCTCCACTTAATTTCTCTCCATCGAGTGACAAATTTCAGCGGCAACGTTTGCTCGGCGTAAGCAAATAAAACTCGGCGTAAAAGATGCACAGAAGCCTATTTCAAGAGGTCTACAAAACACGCACCCAACTAAGCTAAGTGTAATAGCGCCACAGCCTGACCTTTTGTGAGTCGCGAATTTTGTGCGGAGCTATTTCAAACGGCGTCCTTTGAAGCACAACCAAAGGCAGGTGGTGCTAGAGCAGCGACCCTCCAAAGTGTTTTATAAGTCCACGGCTTTCGCGTTCCTTTGAAACAATGCTACACAAGGTTTTCAAGGTTTAGTGGGTGACATTCTAAATCCAAGTTGGATGTGTGTTTTCAATATAACTATCTGGACCCCAAGTAGTATATGAATATTGCTATTCATTCATTCATTCATATTTATTTATTAATCTATCTATAAGCACCTACGAACATGTGTTTTCTAGACACTGGGTGTCATATATTGTATGTCAGTCGTCATCCTACAATCAAAATGTCGAAATTCGGTTGCATTGGTTATACGCGGCCTTCACAGCATGTTGTGCATTCGAATTTCGAGCCTTTGTTGAATCCGAACAAGCACTTGCTCAGTTACACGAAAAACGACTTCATGCATATATATTGGGGATGAGAATAAAACAACAGTTTTAAGCACCCTAAATCATTTTAGAAATAATTAAACTCTGTCCTTTCATCAGTTCCGACTTGAAAAATTCCAGAGACCATCAAAGGTTTAAATTTAATTAAAACTTGATTGGCCTGGTTGACGCCCCAGAGTTTGTCAAGTGGGGGAGAGTTTTCTAACATGACATAAAAACGGGAGATTAAAACAGACTTAGGTGATCTTGAAATAGCACCGCAAAGCAGCTGCCTATAATTAGTAGCCTACTTATACTGCCTATATAGCGACAGACAAAGTGCTTAAGTTCACGTGAAAAGGCGTCCATGTACAACATAAATTGTTATGATAGTCAAAAACAATTTGCATGCATTATTTCAACCTTCTAATGTTGGTTGTGAACTTATTATGAGTGGAGACAGACTTTGTTATCGGTATTTCGAAAGCGATGCCGACTCTGGTCTGTATTTGTATCAAAACACTAGTACAAAAAAGATGCATAGTGGCAAATCAAGTAAAGCTTCAGTGCGAGCCCGAGGTCTGAACCAACCAATCGCCTTTCGCTCTGTACATACGAGTTTTGCTCTGTAATAATTTTTAGTGCCAATAGTTAACCCGCGCCGGGGCAGGAGACGTTTTTATTTTACCCTCCCCTATAAACGGTTTTCCCGTTAGTTGAAAAAAATACATCTTCATTTTATCCGCACGACCTCCATGTGGCTATTTAAGAACTTTATGTGAGGTATTTTCCCAGTATCGGGTGTCCTGAGGCCTTTCCGACACCTATGCTGTCCACCACCCGGTCGCGTGTGACTGCTGACCTGCCTTCGCTGACAGGAGATGTCCGAACACTCGGGTCACGTGCAGCTGGTGACGCTGAGGTCACGACACACCAGTCCTGTGACCTCGATCGGTTTCTGCGCCAAAAACCAGACCGTCATCTCGTCAGCGGAGGACGATGTCTCCTCCGTTATCATGCAGCAGCTCAACTCCCGGTGGAAGGACTACGTGTTCGCCGTTCCCAAGGTAAATATAGAAGAAAAAAAAACTCTACCCACGTCCAATAATTGTCAACTTTATACTGTTGGAACACACACTTGCCATTTGTATCGGTATCGACAGAATCTACACATGCCATCTGTAATAAACACCTGAAAAAGTTACTCCCGAGCGAAAGGGATTGACATAAAATGCGTCGTCTAAAGCTGACCATCCACTGGTTCCTGATTCGTTTTATCCTTGACGGGGTCACACAAACCTGGTAATGTGTTTTTCTCAAATATATTGCACTCGTTGTGAAGTATATAACAGTGGCTACATTTCCATGACACAAGCTAAGCCAATTTTACAAAATGGATTTACTTCATCATAGCATTTAGGCAGCATTTAAAAATGTAAATATAGGATTAGGTGCTAGCTAAAACCATTACGATCGTTTTTGCATTAGTTGAATAGTATCCAAGAAAAACGCACGTGAAATTTTTCCAAATCGATTTAGATGTGTCACGGAAACGTAGTGAGTGGCCTTTACTGCAGGGACTAATTGGACTTTGACACTGCCTCGAGTTGTTTATCTAGCCTCTCATGTTGAATTTGATTCACCGCTCCTCCCCGTCTCCGATCAGGGTGTGCGCGTGCTGGACTTTTCGTGGCGCCGCCAGCTGCTGGTGACCGGTGGGGAGGACCGACTGGTGCGCCTGTGGAACCCCGTGGTGACCGCCCGCCCGGTGGCAACACTCACCGGTCATTACAGTCGCATTGTGGACGTGGCCATGCACGAGTTTCAGGCGGCAGTGATCAGCGTGGACATGGACGCCGTGAGTCAGAAGTGGGAGGAATGTACTATGTCAATACTACGTCGCCGTTTCAACGTTAGGCAAAATATCTTAACCTTCCAGGCGGTGGGGGGGACATTTTTTTGCCCCCCCCTTTAGTTTTTTCGATATATCTTGAGAACCGCTGCGCCGATCGTCACCAAACTTTCAGGACCCTCCCGTGAATAGCTATTGCACATTGTGACCAAAAGTTTTTCCAAAGTTGGTGATAGGGTGGACGCTAATGACGTCAGAGTGACGTCATTTCTGACATTTTCGACCCAAAAAAAGGTTTCGCGAGAAGAGGTGTCAGGCCTACAGCTTTAGAGATACAGAAAAATATTTCGACATAATAGGTGTAAAATTTAGAGGGCTACAAACTGCTATCTCGGATTTTTGATTTTTTTTGGATTTTGACCCCCAAAAATAAAAAAATAGATTTTTTGAATATAATAGCCAAAAAATCCAAAAAGTTTTTTGAATTTCGAAAAAAAACGGAAGATATGTGATAGTCCTTACCACCTTCTATCTACATACCACATTTGAGATCGATACCTCTTTTTTGGCCAAGTTATAGTGAAAAAACTGTTCAAAATTGATGACGTCTAACCCTAGAACGCCTAGGGGGGTTGTATCAACCCCCCCTGAGGTTTTTTCGAAGTGCACGCTAAACGGCTCGTCGTAGCGGGCTGAAATTTTCAATACCCTCTGGGGCAACCTTTGCGCATCTTTTGCCGAAAAAAATTGATCGGGTCATGTCAGGTCACGGAGTTATGACGTCATAAGAGGTACAGCCTCCGGCCGGATTTTCACAAACTGAGTGCCAACGCCCGAGGTTTCCTGCCGGTGGTACGGGCATCGGTTGATGGATCGTGATGGAACTTCCCATGCATGTTGGGGCAAGTATTGGCTATCATATGGTATAAGAAATTTGACCGGGTCAGGTCAGGTCACGGAGCTATGACGTCACAAGAGGAACAGCGTCCGGTACTATTTTTGAAAAGCGCCCGAACCACTATTTTGCTAATTTTTGTCACCTCAATGGGAATATGCAGCAATATTAGCTTCTATAGGGAGCAAATGGACCTCCCAAATCCAAAAATACAATCAGATTTCAAAAATTTAAATTTTGATTTTTCGAATTTCTGCCGCCGACTGTGACCTTGCCGACTTCCGGCGCTCCCAACGCGCCATTTTTAGAGCTAGGGAAACGAAATACATACCAAACGATAGAGAATTGATCAAGGAACACGAGAGTGAAGGTTTCAAGTCGATATCTCCCACCGTTTTGCCGCAATCGCCGCCGAAAGTTGAAAAAGGTCTATTTTTCCGAAAATTTGACCTTTGACCGGTCAAAAGTAGGTCAAATGTTGACCTAGGACCAAAAAATATACCACCAATCGCGAGATCTCGTTGAGAGCAATCCGTTGGTTTTTTCCGCTAAGCTCTACGACCTTCCGTTTCGAAACGCCAGGGGGCGGGGGTCGTAACAACCCCCCCCACCTGGTCGTTCGTGTTATGAGAAATGGCCTGGTCGTGCGAGGACTAATTTTCAAACTCAATTTTTAGCAATTCTAGACCTCGTAGCGCAAAACAAAGACCACCATTAGACTCCCCGTGACGGGCTGCATCGAATTGATACCCATTTTATGCAAAAATATCAACTTTGAAATTTGACCTTTTTTGACCTGACCTTGACCTGACCTCCACCAGAAAGTGACCTAAACCGCACCTGATGGTCTTATAACCAACACCATTGAGTTGGAAATGGATACTGGCCATAAAACATGCATCGCACAACCTTAGTAAAGTTGGGTTCATGTGGTGACCCCTGGTGACCTTTGGTGACCTGACCTGTGACCTGACCTGGTATGACCAGTGGCCTCTAATAGCAACATATGTACTAGACAACTGACGCCCTATCGCTGATTTTCGACAAAATGCATTTTACTCGGTGTTATAGCGCTTTCCCTAAAAGCCCCGTGAAGTGTGAACGGTGAAACATTTTATCGTTGACCTGACCTGTGACGTCATCGGTGACCCCGAGGTCAATGAAATTTGGTTTCCTTTGACAAATTTGACAGGGCTATCGAACACCGTTTGAATTTTCCGGATACGTCCAGTAGTTTCGGAGGGGGGGGGCAAAAAATGCCCCCCCCCACCGCGCGGAAGGTGGCCGGGAGATCAACCGCCTGCCGGGCCTCGCCGGACCTATTGGTTTTCTACATACACGCCGGCCGAGGGGGGGGGGGGGCGGGTACGACCCCCCCTCGCCGTTTCGCCCCTGGTGGAGCTAGCGCGTCGCGGAACAAACGAGCGTGTGCGCCGTTACGAGACGCAGAGATTGGTACCCGATTTTAAGGTCCTAGGTCAACCGGTGACCTCTGAGGTCAGGTCAAGTGCCCCAAGGTACGGTTCAGTTTTTGGTGAATAACTTCGCAAAAAACGGCCGCAGAGCGCCGATTTTGGCAGCATCGTGTTCGTCTTGCTCAGGCGCGTCGAATGATATACTTTTTGTCCGGGTCAGGTCAACTTAGGGTGTTGACCTCAGGTCAAGGTCAGGTCAGCACCCCCAGGTCACGAAGCTGGTCGAAAGAGGTCATGTCGCATATCATTCGATTCGGCAGGTCTTCCTGAGTCCATTGGTGACTTTCCCGACTCGCTAGCTCAATTTGATCAAGAGTTATTGACGAAAAACTAATATGACCTTGATGACGTCATAAATGACGTCATGCAAGGTCAACATTGCAAAAGTGACGCGTCTAACCTTGCAAGGAGTGCATCAAATCACGATTCTGTGTGCTTGAGATAGTTGGAGATCGTTCCCGGCTCCAGAATAGCAGTTTGAATTTTTCCCCATTGACTTATAATGGTGAGGTCACGAAAATGACCTGACCTCATATGACCTTTAGGAAAAATCCGAGATATACAAGTTGTGGGACTCATAATGGATACTAGATCCTGCAAGTTTCATTTCCCTGTGACATCTCCTCTGGCAGTGAGAGCGTTGCGAAGTTGCGACATCTGAAGACCGTGCAGAGGTTCACTTATGACGTCATAGGTCAGTGACCTGACCTGACCCAAAAATGCGGTTGGTGTCAAAAGATGCGGCTTGGATCAAAGGTCAGGTATGCCAAGTTTTAGCTCTCTATCGCCAGCGTGTTCGGAGCTATCGCGAAAAAACCCTATGGGGGGGTGGTACCCGCCCCCCCCCCCCTCGGCCGGCGAGGGTTAAGCGCCATGATATTCCAAATTCATCTAATTATAAAAAAAAAATCATATGCTTGATACATTTGTGAATTATGATCACGGAGCTATATAAAGCTGACTGCTGCTGATGGTCAGAGGCTCAGCGCTGACCGGTCGGACTCTGCCCGCAGGTGGTGAACGTCTGGGACGCTGACGAGCACGTGCTGCTGCAGTCGATCCTGCTGGCCTGGCCGCCCGAGCGCCGCCTGCTGCAGGCAGAGTTCGGCACGCGCTCCATCGTCACCAGTACGCCGCACCACCGCTCCGTGCTGGTGCTCTCCAGTGACGTGGTGAACCAGCTGCTGGTGCGGCAGCCCTGCCGACGTCGCCCTCCTGACGGACCCGGCGCCAGCCGTCAGCAGGTGAGGCGGGCTTGGGTGTGTGAATGGCGTGGGTGTGTAAATGGCGCCGTATGCTGGCTCTTACAGACCCGTAAGTAGGAGACGTCAGCACTCAGGTATGGTGCGATTAGCTAAACTGTCCCCTGTCAGCCCTCTGACAGCACCTCCACGGCTGCAGGAGCGGCCCGGCTCTCGTCTATCGGCCGCCTCCGGGGACCCACGCAGCCGGCGCGCCAGTCGGCGATCCTCGGCGGCTGTTCCGAGACGCTCTGCCGCCGCCGCCGCCGCTGAGACCGCCGTCAGAGCAGTAGGGGCACTGAAGAGCCCCCGACCGTCGTCACCACCGTCACCACAACCAGCACCACCGTCACCACAGGCCAGTTCCAGCCCGGAGGAGCAGGAGAGGAGCGAACAGGAGGATCGCGCGGCCATCGAGAGCTACCTCCGCGCCATGGCCGAGGCAGAACCGACCTACTTCGAGGTGAGCATACCGGCGATTCCGCGGCCGGCTCGCAACAGCCTGGTGACAAACCGACTGCTGGGGCGGCAGCAGGACGCCACGCAGCTGGTGCGCGACTGCACGCCGTTCAAGGCGCTGCGGCTGCACCCGCTGGCGCCGCTGCCACAGTCCGCCGGACTGATCGTGTCAACGCGTATGCGCCGCCTCGGTCTGCTGTGTAACTCGCTGGAGGAGGTGCTGGAGATGAAGCTGCCGACGGGGCGGCCCGGCGCGAGCGTCAGCGGTAGCGGTAGTGGAGCACACTCCAAGTCCTCGAGCCTGTCTTCGTCAGTGTTGACGTTACAGAGACAGAAACAGCGCCGTCGGGACATTAGCCGCGCCAGTCTGTCGGGAGTTAGTGAGGGCTCCTCGCTGACGGTCGGCTCCATCCACTCCTCCTAGACAGTGAGAGAGAAGGAGAGAGAGAGCGAGAGAGAGAGAGAGAGAGAGGGAGAGGGAAAGAGAGAGAGAGAGAGGGAGATAGAGAGAGAGAGAGGGAGAGGGAGAGAGAGGGAGATAGAGAGAGAAAGGGAGAGCTGACTTGTACTCTTATTTCTAGACGGCAGACGAGTTTCACCAACTTGGTAGCGATGAATACCAATCGACAGAAAATTGCTTCTGGGATTCGAATGTATTATTTTGTGTAGTCAAGAAATGGATAAATGTGAGCGTGTCAGTGGACTGCCCACACCGAACATGCATTTTGTGCTGTCGACACCTGATGTCTGGTTGTGGTGTCGATATGTGACCGATATACATTGTCGCCTGTCTGGGCAATATCAGCAGGCAGGGGAGGGCAAGTTTTGCGCCGTGTGACCACGCACTGGGGATATTTGGTCAGAATTTGTAGAAAATACACATGTGGCACGCCTCAAGGCTCACTATATTTGCATTTGTTCTTGTGGTTACCTATGAGCTGCATCCTTTTATCAACCGTAGGCTAAGCTGCTATATTTCCATGAATATGACTGCATAAGAGTACATGTTATTATATGAATCACGAGTCAGAAGAAGATACGTGTGCAAACGGCGCAGCCCTACGCACGCGCCGTTATCAATGTGAATGACAACTGCAGTTGAAAGGCCAGCAGCTTAGGCATCCAGACAATGGGTATGATTCGTTACATTTTATTACGGAGCGAGCGAAGCGAGCGTAGTCTTTCCTTAGATTAACGGAAATTTCTGAGTATGAGCGGCCGGCCGGCCGGCCGGCCGTGCGGACGCTTTTGCGAGGCTTATATCTCAGCAACCACTTGACCGATTTACATGCGGTAATTTTTGTAGGGTAGCTTCATTCCTTCTACCAAGTATTGGACTATTCCCGATGCATGTGGGTGACCGCTTATGCACGTGCCACGTGCAAAACGAAGAGGTGTCACTTTTGTAATTGTTGCAATATCTCGGTAACTACTTGACCGATTGCGCTGAAAGTTGGCATGTAGGTAGGCACCCACTAGGCACTGCATATCCATGTGCCAGAGTTGGGGTGCCGCTGCACGTGCGCACGTGCAGGGGTCGTTTCCAGATCTCGAGAACGGCTCGACCGATTGCGCTCAAATTTGGTACACAGTTAGGGACCGGTTACTAGGGTGCCGTGCACAAGTCAGTTGGGACCCATTTTGCACGTGCGCACGTGCAGGGTGCCGCTTCCAGATCTCGAGAACGGCTGGGCCGATTGTGCCCAAATTTGGCACATCGCTAGAGACCAGTCAGCAGGGTGCCGTGCACAAGTCAGTTGGAGGTACCCCCTCGAAATTTCGCACGTGCAAGACTCACCCCCTCGCTCGCTCCGTTAGTCGCCCCAAAAGGCGCTATACTGGTCTTACTTAATAAATTACAAGTTGTCTGCGTGTCCGTCAGCCGTATGTGTCTTCTTGCGCCGGAACGGCGCCGCGTATCGACGTGAATTTTGGTGACCACAAACTTTGGGTGGGGCGGACCATCGTATCAAAAGATGGGCGCAATCGGACCACGGGTGCGGCGTCAGCGCGTGCATCTCTGCCCCAGGCTGGCCGAGGCCGGCGCCGAGCAGAGAGCACGCGCTCTAAGCTCATTTTCTTCGCTTGCCAAACTGAGTGAAAACGATGAGAGCCAGCTCGGAAAGTCAACTCTGTGGATTTAAAGAATACAGGTTTTCGATTAGCATCAGGTATAGGTGCAGGTACAGGTATTAGGCTCAGGTTTCACCAGTAAATAAAATAAATTTATTACCGAGCAAGCGAAGCGAGCAAAGTGCGAGCGAAGCGAGCAAAGTGCGAGCGAAGCGAGCAATTTTTCGGATCTGCAGCGCTCCTCGAAAAGCGCATATACCTACATGCCTACCATACAGCTAAATGAAGTAAGTAAACAAACTTAACCCTACTGGCATAAACATACAAGTTTTAACAACCAAACTAATAATCCCCTTATTCCTTAAACATTTATTTATTTATTATTTATTTGACATCGTAGGCTCATTCCACAAAAATGGCTATTCCTGAACCAGGGTCGCAATATAAAATGATGGGTGTCGTGGGAAAAACATACGCACGCACGCACACAGACATTCGTTCGCAGTCACTCTCTCACAAACGTGTCGTCATGAAGTATTGCTAACGGTCGGCCGCCTGTTGTCGCAACAAGTGCCGGCGCAACTCTGCCTTGAACGCGCGCAGGTTCAGGTCACACATCGCCGGTGGTAGGCTATTAAAAGCTGTCACGGCGGTAAAGAGGAATCGTCTCCTCCCGGACTCCGATTTGATTCTGGGCACATGTAGCATATCTATCTGTCTTGTGGCTCGCTGATGTACGTCACGTCTATGCACTATTCTACTCGCGATTGACTCGGGCTGCGCAGTGACCAGCATACGTTTCACATTTTGGGCTCTGGCCGCCGTCTTACAAGTCAGATCAGGCTCATTTTTGGTTTCCACACTCGTGAACAGATGCTCTAGATACCTTGAGGGTACCAAACTTGTACTTTGATTTTCAGGTCAGGGTCAGGTCATCACAGGTCACGAAAATATTATATCATACGTCGGTCACGTGACACATGTTTTATGGTCCATTTAGGCCATAGATTTCGAATTTGATGTCGTCTGTGTCATTCAAGGTCATTTTGAGTCAAAATTAGCTTAGGTCAGGTCACTTTCAGGTCAAAAAAGGTCAAATTTTGAAGTTGAAATTTTTCAACAAAAAAGGTGTATATTGGATGCAATTTGAGCTCAGGAACACGATGGTGCCATTTATATTGGTGTACGATGCCAAATACGTACTTAAAAATTGATTTGAAAAATTAATAATTGTGAATTTTTTGCAATAATGCGTATAACTTGGCCATTTTTGAAGATATTTAGCTAAAACTTGCTAGAGTTAGTCATAATCATGCGTTCTGTCACATATATTCCGGTTTTTTCGAAAAGTCAAAAACTTTTTGAAAAAAATATAAAAATATAAATTTTGAATATTATTATATAAAATTTTCAAAATTTTCAAAATTTCGAAAATCCGAGATAGCAGTTTGATAGCGCGGTCAATTCTGAGTCCTTTCATGCAAAGAAATTGGATCTAGCTTAAAAACTTAGCTCTTGGGAGCGATTGCCGTGGTTCAATGTTTTGCGTCGAAATCGGACGAACATGACGTCACTCTGACGTCATTTCCGGCCGACCTATGGTAGCTACGAAGTTCAAATTTTGACACAAGGTGTCAAATTGATGCAGCCGAAGGTACTGAAAGTTTGGCGTCGATTCGTCAAGCGGTTTTGAAGTTATTGCAGAAAAACGGGAGGGGGGGCTATAAATAGCCCCCCCCCCCCAGTGGGGCGCGGGTTAATAATGTGTCTCAATGCTTCTAAATCCTCTGCCGCTCATTCTCCGTCACTATCCACCCTAATCTGTGTTTTCATTTAAGAGTAGCGAACTAACTTTCAACACGGCATTGCCGTACAGTATGCACTCAGGCGGCTATAACCGTCAGAAGCGACATTGCGGTACAGTATGCAATCAGGCGTTTGATAGTTCTGTCATCTAGCGCGTAAAAGGAAAGGTTGGGCGGCGGACACGACATTGTGGTACAGTATGCACTCAGGCGGCTTTATTCGCCAGCACCGTCATTGCGGTACAGTATGCAATCAGGCGTTTGATGGCTCTGCCATCTAGCGCGAAACAGGAAAGGTGGAGTGGCCACGCAATGGATAGTAGCCGGTTCACGACGGCCATCTGGTAAGTACAAATTTGGTGCAGGTTTGGTGCGATTAGGTTTAGTGTGTTTCTTAGCAGCTATCAGCTAGGGTTACATTAATTGCTTATAGCTATTCCTGCTTTTTCATAGTATCAGACATTATTATCAATCAACCCTATTACTGGTGGGGTGGGGGGATCGGCCCCCACCTGGAGTATTTTTGCTGTCGATGGAAAATCGCCTTAGGGGTTGGAAATTTGGCGACTTTTCCTTAGCTAGAGGCGTATTCAGGATCAGTTTCTCGGGGTAAATCTGGTCACACTTAAAAAAAAAAAATAATTTCAAAACAAACGTGTCCATCTGTATGTGTGCATATGCCCTAGAGACAGTATTGCGGTACAGTGTGCATTCAGGCGGTGATACGGCAGACGCGGCACTGCGGCACAGCGTCCATTCAGGCGCTTGACGCTCCTGCCATCTAGCGAGTAAAAAGGAATGTTTGGGCGGCTTTGCGAGCCGCACTTATTAGTTATTGGGTAGGTATGCGCACTCGATTACCTACCTGGCAATCTTCAAGAGAACAACCTTTCACCATTTACAGCATTAATAATACCCATGATATTGAACAAACGAATGTGATAGAATACAATTAGAGTAGTTTACAGTGCTCATGTTAAGAACGTAGGTATGTTATGTTACGACTTACTGGTGGTTATAGGAATGCACTAGAGTAAGGTGGGAAAAGAGCCTATGAGAAGGGTATGGGAAGGGTGTAGGTAGGGTATAGGTAGGGTAGGACATGTATATGGGTAGAATAGCGCTTTTTTGCGGCGTTCCCGATTGGCGGCGGGCGGGCGGGCGATGCGGGCGATTTTCATTTTTTTTTGTGGCGTTTGCGGTTGGCGGCGGGCGGGCGGGCGCACGATGCGGGCGGTTTTCATTTTTCGAGGCGTTTGCGGTTGGCGGCGGTCGGGCGGGCGGTTTTCATTTTTTGCGGCGTTTGTAGTTGGCGGCGGGCGGGCGTGCGATGCGGGCGGTTTTTATTTTTTGCGGCGTTTGCGGTTGGCGGCGGGCGGGCGCGCGATGCGGGCGGTTTTATTTTTTGCGGCGTTTGCGGTGTTGTTTGCGGTTGGAGGCGGTCGTTTTTACTTTTGCGGCGTTTGCAGTTGGCGGCGGGCGGGCGGGCGCACGATGCGGGCGGTTTTCATTTTTTTCGAGGCGTTTGCGGTTGTCGGCGGTCGGGCGGGCGGTTTTTATTTTTTGCGGCGTTTGTGGTTGGCGGCGGGCGGGCCTGCGATGCGGGCGGTTTTTACTTTTTGCGGCGTTTGTGGTTGGCGGCGGGCGGGCGTGCAATGCGGGCGGTTTTTATTTTTTGCGGAGTTTGCGGTTGGCGGCGGGCGGGCGCGCGATGCGGGCGGTTTTTTGCGGCGTTTGCGGTATTGTTTGCGGTTGGAGGCGGTCGTTTTTATTTTTGCGGCGTTTGCGGTTGGCGGCGGGCGGGCGTGTTTTTTTTTTAAATAATTCAATGTCCAAACCTTTGGATTCGTAGTGCTCCTCGAAAAGCCATCCCTACCTACTATACAATTAAGAGAAGTAACTACCAAACACATCCCTACTTATATAAACATACAAGTTTTGACAACCAAACTAATGGCCCCATCAACCATATCTATCCAAACGTACAGTTATCGCGTAAACCTGTATTCTAGTCTTACTTAATAAATTTCAAGTTGTCTGTCCATCCGTCAGCCTTATGTGTCTTCTTGCGCCGGAACGGCGCCGCGTATCGACGTGAAATTTACTGGGCACAAACTTTGGGTGGGGCGGACCATCGTATCAAAAAATGGGCGCAATCGGACCAGGGGTGCGCCGTCGGCACGTGCAAAAGGGCGCTTCCATAGGGATAACACGGGGCTGGCTGACATGCCGATCGGACGAAAA